AATGCATCACCACTATGACACCAGGGCACCAGCTAGTGCTTGATAAATACTGAACCCAGAGGAGGGAGCAGCGAGGTCCCACACCGCAAGGGCCACACAATCACAGAAGTGTGAAATGAAGAAAAGCCACGCCACTATCCATTGTCCAGTCCACTCCCCAACACCTCGCTTGCGAAATAAACCTTCTCACTCAGAACTTATCTTACGCTTGACACAGTTCTCTATGCCCTGGGTCTGCCATGTTCTGAAGGCAGCAGCATGGGTTCTTGAAAACCATGTCCCTCCCCCACAAGTTGTATTCTTTCTCCCTTTCCTTGTGAGTATTCTCTCTCAAACAGTACATTTCCTGCTTCCAGAGAATACTGATATTTTCTTAACCCATTTCTATAGATCACTGCGGATATACAGCCGCAATGCTGAAACCAAAGGTAATAGCATGTTCTGGTCATTGACGCTTCCAAAAATCACTGGATATTCTGCAAGTTATTGGATGGCTGGATGAAATTACTTTTCAAAGCGTCTTCCAATTCTGAGATTTCATGATTCTATAACATAAGCAGAGTCCTTTTTCTTGAAGGGTTATATCTGGGCAAAATTATCCCAGGCTAAGGTATCATTGTAAAGGAAAAATATGGGTCAGCATTTCAATAATATTTGGTTTCTCCAAGTGGTCCAACCTAACCTCACTGTAAATGGACAAGACTGCAGATATCCATATAAGTAAACCAGGCCTGGAGCATACTCGCTGTTATATTTTTCAACCAAAGACAGATCTTTTCAAGATCAACTGAGAATAAAATTTAACAATCAAAAGACATTTTTTTAATGACCTAAATGTTCTGGATGGCATAACACTTGGAATCTGAACTTATGTGCTTATTTCGCGATCCTTCTCAAAACTACATCTTAATCAGGTCTGAGGCCTAAATGTTAGAAAATACAAAACTTTCACTCGTTCACTTTGGCCTTTTGAACGGGCAGATAAACATGTCACAAGAGCTATGGGACGCTGTGCTCTATGTAAGCCCACGCACATCTTTATTGTAAAAATCCATCCCAACAAAACCCACCCAAGCCCTAGAGTCGATTGTGACCCCTAACAACCCTCCAGAGAGCTCTGAGACGGCAAGCCTTTCTGGAAGCACACAGTCTCATCTTTCTCCCAGGAAATGGCTGTTGGGTTTGAACCTTCCACCTTGCAGTTAACAGCCCAACACCTACCCACAGTGCCATCAGGGCTCCTCCTGCTCACATTAAAAATGAGTAACCTATCAATAGGCTGCACATCTTCAAAACAGATTTCTCAAGCTTGAGTTCAGGAGAAAAGCAAGCCACCTCTCGCCAGCATCCCAACTCAAATAGTGGGGAATAGTGAAGGAGAAAAGCAAGCCACCTCTCGAGTCCTAGTCCAGCAGGTACGACATCGAGGGGGAGTCCGGGTTCTGTGCGCCCATGCTCTCTTCCAATATTCTGGAAATGACCTAAAGCTCCCATACAGTTCCTACAGTCGCAGCTAGCTATCCGGGTTTCAATTCAGCTTCCATAACTTCCTAGATGTGTGGCCTTGGCAAGCAATCTAACCTCTCTGGGCATCACTTCCTCAGCAGGATAAAAAGAAATCATATTGCCACTATCTTCTTTATAAGGTTGCTGCCATACTTTAATAGCATTATTATCTTTACCCCTCAGCTCATCTCTGGGTAACTTCAAAGTGATGGCTTTGAAGAAGGGGCTACCAGGATGTAGGAAAACAAGCATGAGGCCTCCACTTGGTCCTAAAGAGAAAGGTTTTGTAATTGCTATGGCTCAATTGGTTGAGTCATTTAATTAAAGTCTGGAATTTCCAAGACTGAAACAGAGCTTCCCAACAGGACACCAAAGACAGAAAAACATGTGGGATCCTAGTCAGAGAGTTCTTAACAAATTGTTCTTGAGTCAGCAGAGGGGTAGCAGCAAAGCACGCTCTGTTGACCGTGGAAGGAGCAGGAGCAAAGTCCTCCGTCCACTAGGAGCATCATTTGACATTGGGCTCACTCCCAGGACTGCAGATCTGCTAAAACCAGGGGGCCGAACAGTAGAGCTCTGTGTCCAGAGTACACGTGTGTGCATGTGTGTGTGTGTGTACTCATCTAAGGGTTAACACTTGAACACACTGGGAGAGGAACAGAGAAGAGAGGAAAGGAAGTCCCATAAACAGAATATTGTTGCTAGCTGCCATCAGGTGGACCCCGGGCTCATAGCAATCCCTCACACAATGAGGGGGGAAAGGGTCCTGTGCGATCCCCATGACTGGCTGGGGATCGGGCCATTGTGATCCAAAGGATTTTCACTGGCTGATTTTTGGAATTTGATCACTAAGCCTTTCTCCCTAGTCCATCTTAGTCTGGAAGTTCTGTTGAAACACACAGTCAGCAGCTTAGCCACACACACCCCTCCACTGACAGGCGAGTAGTGACTGCCCATGAGGTGCATTGGCCAAGAACCATAGCCAGGTCTCCAGTGTGAGCAAGAAATTCTCCCATGGGGTCACCACTGCCCCTCGTGAAAATTACCAAGTAACTGTGTGCATCCAAATGAAGGATAATTTGTATGCTTGGATCCTACAGAGTTAGGCCCATGATTTGCTCATGTCTTGCTATTATATTTGTTTACAAACTACAACAGAGGAACGACCCAGCACCAGAAAATGCAGTGACCTTTTTTCAAAGGTAGTTGAAATGGTACAGAGCTTGTGACTCATTCTGAAATAAACAGAGTGGCCAAGCCACATCAAGACCACATTTAAATAAAAATGCACATACACAAGGACCACAAGTTAAGGGGTGGTTTGTCAGAACTCTATTTCTGTTTTTCCTGTCAGGTCTGCTGGGAACTTCATAATTAGTTTTGACATCATGGTCTAAGGAAGGCGCCCACTGGGTCAGTGGACACCTCTAGTTTTCACAGGAAAGGTCTGTCCCCTTCGGAGCCACTGTTGCACGAGTCACTCAACGTTCACTGCCCCTGGTGGGTGGTGCCTCAGCTCAAAGTACAGTAGCAGAAAAGCCCTGCGCTGAAGCAGCTGGAGAGGCCCCAAGCAACGAACGCCTGCGTCAGCAGTCTGCAGCAGAGGCCATGTCTGCCGTCCACCCTGCCTACCACGCTGGGTGCTCCAAGTCACACAAGTCTCTGCACAGGCTCTACGTAATTTTGTTTCCCGTCCTCCTCTGCACTTCACGTCTGAGTGTTGTTCAGAACATTCTGAATTTTCTAAAGTCAAGCCAATCACTTCCTATGCATGTGAAAGCCGGGCACTGGATAAGACAGACCGGAGAAGCATCTACAAATTTGAGTCGGGATGCTGGCAAAGAATATTGAGAGTACCGTGTCCTACTGGAGGAACGTACAGGCAGAGCACTCCTTAGAACCGAGGTTGGCGAGCCTTGGCCTCAGGGACACTGACACGGTATCGGAGAGATCGGGGATATCACGCTGGGTAAAGCAGAGGGGTGGCAGGAAAAGAGAAAGACCTTCAACCAGATGGATTGCTACAGCGGGCTCCAACATGACTCTGCGTTGTGCACAGAGTGGCCATGAGCAGAACATGACTCGCTGGTGCCTAAAAACCCCAACAGCATGATCGTCGGCATTGCGCTCGAGCCCGTCTCTGCAAAGGTTGAGGGTGGGCAGAATCAAGCCCAGCGAAGCCATAGCCCACCCCATCTCCTCCATCAAGTCCACCCTGCAGAGAAGTCAGCCTACATCCTTCTCCTCCTCACGGCGTTTGCTGTCATCTCTTCCTGGGTCACTTCTGGCCCCGGAACAAAAAACGGTTTCCTTCTTCCACATGCTGATGTTTGCCGACGTAGGGACCCTAGCACAGAACTTTCCACTTGTCATAGTTAGGGCGTATTGAAGGATTCCCCGGGCAATCACTAACAACTCAAATTACCCACCCGATATTTAGAATTGCTCTTACAGAACCGGGTGTTTCTCCAGAAAAGGCACCTCCATGGTGCCGCTGACGAAGTGTTGGGCTGCTCACCTGAAGAACATCACTCGATCCCACCAGCCACCCGCGGGGACAAGATGAGGCAGTAACTGCTGTGAAGCCCACAGGCGTGGGAGCCCGAGGAGGAGTTAGACTCCCAGGACCACCAGAAGTCCGAACGGCTTCTCTGAGAACCCCCACTCTACCGTTAGTGTTGGGGGCACTCAACATGCACTTGGCACCTCCAGTGAGGCTGCTAAGGGCAAGCTCAGTCGTTCAAAGCCACCACCAGCTCCCCGGGAGAAAGATGGGCCTCCTCTCCATCTCAGAAACTCACAGGGGGCAGTTCTAACCTGTCCTACAGGCTCCTGATGAGTAGGCGTCAACTCAATGGCACTGCGTTGGCTTTTTTACAGGCTGCAGAAAGGATCTAACAATAGGAAATTTGCCACACACACACACACACACACCATGTGAGCCATTTGGTTTGGGAGTCCCCTGAGCACTATGGGCACTTGCCAGAAGTTCCAGAGGAAGAGAGTAGCTACCAACATCAATGGTGGGGGCCAAGCAGGTGTCAATGGGGCAGAGTTGCTTCTGGCTCTTGTCTAGCAGTGTGTTGCTCTTGGAATCTACTATTCTGTGTGTCGCTTTCTGCCACTCCACTTGCAGTCTCTTTGCCAGCACCTCTCGATGCTTCTAAGAGGTTCTGAATTATTGACTAATGCAAGGGAGATGCTTTGGAAAACAGCAAGTCCAAACACAGACCTGTAGAGGCTAGTGCAAACACTTGGTCATCAGCAGTTTCCTTTTTAAGACCAAAAGGAAAAAGATGAG